TTTGTCCAAATACTTATGAGCCCTTAAAATCGGGGGACTGTGTGAAGAAATGGTTGTAATTCCTACACGGTTCATACTACATTTTTGAAAAAAAGCCTTAAATGAAAGCTGAGAGTCTGCACTTTAAGCAGGTATTCATTGTTTCATTTAAAACCCATTGTGGTGGTGTACAGAGCCAAAATGACGACAACTGTATCATTGTCCAAATAATTATGGACCTGACTGTATGTGTGTGAGGACTAGACTATTAAGTGAAGATCAACTGGAGGGTAAGGGACACTCGAAAATAAGCAGCCATGTCTAAAACTTTTACACTATAGAAATACCAGAGGAACACCACAAGACAAGAAGTTATTTTTTTTCCATTTTATTTGATACAAACAACATCAAAAGGTGGTCCTTTACTTGCCGGGGAGGATGATGCCGTCATACTGAAGAAAAAAAGGGCAAAGAGAAAAACAGAAAAAAGGATGAGTATTAGTTTATAATCAACACAATTTCAGCAGAGAAAATATAATGCAACATGAAAGAAATTTGACTTTACAAATAACATTTGAGCAGCAGCGGCCATGAGGGCACTGATGGAGCCACAGACACAAGAACCAAATTCATAAAGAGAATATATCACTCAACCACGATTATAGGTTTCAATTTTCTGCAGTTTGCATGCAAATCTTGCATTATAAACATGTTTGATTTAACATGAATCAAAGTTCAATAGCAATGACATTTGGCAGGGAATTACTTTTAGGAAATTGTTTAAGGACATTTTCATCTTTAAAATGTTCAATATGAACTTCTTACAAAATCTGGAAAGCTAGTCAGAGACAGTTCCCTTGTCTCAGGATGTGTGGGAACTAGAGCTACAATAAATTATCAGTTAGTTATCAACTGTCAAATTTATCTCCAATCTGATGATTGATTAAATGATTTGAGTAACTTTCTACGTATTAAGTCAAAATTCTGATTCCCGCCTTTTAAGTGTAAATATTTTCTGGTTTCATGCTCTATGACGGTAAACAGAATGTCTTTGGGTTGCAGATAAAACATCTGATAAAAGACGCTGATCGATATTTTTTTCCCCATTTTCTGACAAGTTATAAACAAAACAACTAATCGCTTCTTTGAGAGATTGATCAACAGATTAATCAATGATGAAAATTAGTTGCAGCCCTTGTGTGAAACCTAGACAACACTCACTTTCTGCTGGAACCAGCGCATGGCCTCCTCTTTGCGGATGCGGTGCCTGAAACCGATGCGGCCTCTTTTCCGCTTCTTGTCGGCGATGCTGAAGCCGGGCCTACCCAGAACCTGAACACCAAACGGAGAAGATGACAGAGCTGGTCAGAAAAGCTCCAACACTGTTTTTACATTACACATAAACACATGAAGCATCAATCAATGTCATTCCTTATTAATACTGGTTGGATGTTGGAGGATTCAGTGACACTTATGCCCAGTGTTTATTCTCGACAACCTGAAAAGTCACCGTCACAGATGAATAAAAAAAAGGGAAACAAAATGTCTTTATTTGGTGAATTAATACATTATTATTTTGGTATCTGCATCCCTGAAATTCTATTAGGTGTCCGATCAACATGTCAGGTGACCATGGACTTGATTCACTTGAGACATAAAACATTCCAACGAGGAAAAACAGCATTTAACTAATTTCCTGTTGACCACCTACTGAGCAAGAAATGCCAAGAGCGAGTTCACCAAAATATCAAATAACTGTCAAATTCATCAGACATTAACTCAGCTGCAGAATCTGATCTGTAAACCTCAAATCATTAAATCAAGCATTTAAACTTTCGGGATACAAAACCCTCAGCAGCACAAAGATTTAAATGATTTAATTTGTCCCAACATTAAAAATATGACTTTAACCCCCTTACACTGCCTGTTCAAGGCAGGAATGTCACACCATTACTCCACCTTGCTGTTGTCGACAAAAAAGGTACAATCGTGGAATGAGGGGGAGTCGGCAGCGGAGGTAGCAACAGCGCCGAACCAATGTCTAAAAAGGGACAGCTGACAGGACAGGACCATGGATGGGACGGGTGTGATACGACCCACCGCAGGGAAATTTTAAAGGCAGCTAGAACAGTTAACAGCTAACTCAAAGATGAAGAGCAGCAGCTGAAAATTTCAGCCAATTAAGGAGACAGTGAAGTGTGGGAGCTCCTTACCCTCCAAACATAAACAGGATCAGCTGCCATATGGCAGAGATGGTAAATTATTGTTATTGCCATGATTTGCCATTGTTATAGTTTTAGTTTCAAAGCGCTGCCAAGGCGTACAAGTCACCCCAGAGGCCGATGCTGTTGTGTTACACATTACACCTGTCACACCTCTTATTTCCCAGGTGCCATCTAAAAATCACACACTGGGGAGGCATCATGCAAAGGCGGCATATATATGAAGAGACTTCATAGCGGCCCTATCCCAAATATTTCATTTAAATGTGACAAATACTCAGCCACAATTTCTACAGTTAAAAAAACAAACAACAAAAAACAACTAAAAAACATATCCGTCTGCAATTAAAAAAAACAATTAAGTCCAATCTGTGCCGTCATAATAAAAAGCTTCAGCACCACATCCTCAAACTCCATCGCATCACCTGCGACAAGCTACATTTAGCATGTCATTTTTTGGCCACTCACCACGTAGAAGTCCAGTCCGTAGATGCCGATGCTGGGGTCGTACTTGATGCCCAGATCGATGTGCTCCTGGATACCAAAGCCGAAGTTTCCGGTATCAGAGAAGTTGTTCTTTCTCAACTCGTACTCACGCACCTGGAAGCAAATAAGATGTTCATTTCATAATAAAACAAATGCTAAAACGTAATTATTAATCAACCTTACAGCGTAAGAAAGAAACAAACCTATCAAAGTACTAAGACACTGCTTACATAACCAATATTGGCAAAATACTGGCTTTAACATGATGGGCACATCAACTGTTTCCAATACCATGTCCTTTACTTCAATTGACAGAATAAATTTAAGCTTTAGTCCTGTTTCAACAGATATCCAATTTTATTTTCAGATACTCCATATTTTTAACAATTCAAATTAAAACAATGTGAAAGGGGCATGTCACCCTTTTGATCAACCTCTTAGAAATCTGCAACCTGTGATAAAGAGTCACAAGTCAAATAAACAGTTGGGAACAACTGAACTGGTGAGAAATGTAGAGGAATTAACAACACGAATTTCTGACCTTGAGTCCTTTTTCCAGGATCTCCTCTGCTTTGGCTCCACGGACGGTGCAGTGGACAGCAATCTTTTCATTTCTGCGGATACCGAAGGATCGCACAGTGTAGCGGGCTGCAAAGACACATCAACAAAGGTTAGACACAGTGCTGAGAAATCTATGAACCTTGTTATTTCCTACAAAATTGCTAAACATCGTTCAGTGATGGAGTTTGACCAGAGTGCTTGGTGAAAGTGGGCAACATCTTATGTCCTAAACCTGTGCAGCCCTAAAACATTAGGGTTGGGTACTGTACTTGGTATTTTTTATGGGTTTCAACCTGATTTATGTGGTTACTTCTGAATACAGATTCACACTGAATCAAATCAGTACCAAATTTCGGCAACTATGGGCACACCTGGTGGAGAACACCAGGTTCAGTTAGGAGGCAAGCACTGCAAAGCACCCCAAGCCAGGAAGCCGTCCATTGAACTCCATGGCTGACTTCAGGGTGCTTCGCGTCAAAGACAAAGCTGTAGAGCTCCATCAGCTTCCCATAATTTAGCCCTCATAGCTTTGCAGACCTAAAGTCTTAAGGTCAAGGCCTCCATAGCTCAAAGTCTTACATAAATGTTTCCTCTACACATACATACACACACACAAACACTGACCCTTGGAGAAGACGGGGGTCTGCCCTGTGAGCTGCTCCAGCACCTTAGCAGCACGGGTCAGTCTGTCTCCGCTCTCACCGACGCAGATGTTCAGGCAGAGCTTGCGGATGCGAAGCTCTCTCATGGGGTTCTCCTTCTTCTCACCCTGGTCCTGAAGGACACGAATAATAGGATAGTATCACATCACTAAAAAAAGTGACGAAACCCACTAAAACATCACAGAAAGACATCTGACCGCGGAGAAGTTTTGACACCTTGTCATCCGCTGCTGCCATGTTGAGTTTACCTATCAGCGTTAGCATGCTAACAGGCTAGCACAGGTAAGAAAGCTAAATCAAACATTTCACAAACGTAACAGTGAATCCGAGGTTCTGTTTAACATCGACAATTTGTGATCCTCTCTAAATCAACGAGTCCCGACACAGCTCTTCTGTCTCAACATCACACTCCCAACAGTGTAGGACCAACACATGCCGGCCGGAGAACATGTCCGTACATATCCCCTCTGCTGTTAGCATCGTCACAGATCTCATGAGTCCGCGGGTTAAATAAGTTATACACAACTAAAACAGTTCATAAAACACACAGAGACGTGTCTACTGTGTCATTATATTGCGTATTACATAGCCTAATTACAAAACGTAACTATAATTGTATGGGGCGATACTATTTTAAGGTGCTACCCTGTTAGCATCGTCCGTTTTGCTAATTAATTGCCTTCTATAACATTTATCAAGTAAATAAGACTTTAGTTTATTAATTCATGGTGGAGTCTAAGTCTCTGCGCATCAGACAGCAGTTAGGATAACCCCACAGCTCCGATGATTGTGGATTTTAACTACAACTTCATATTTGGTCGCCATCGTACGATGTGAGACAGTACTCACCGCCATGTTGGATCACTAGAAGAGGACGTGACGTTTCCGGTGGGGGAGCTTTATAGGCTAGTGTTCACCGCAAATAGGCTCGGGGAAACATCGGAGAGTAACGCGAGGGTTCCGGTTTACGGCACTAAAAGCGAAATATGATGTAAAACAATAAAAAAGTGAGAAAAAATGATAACATACATTTTAAGTTAGTTTAAATTGAGTCAATAATGCATGTCAATTTGTATATAGTATTATTTATTCATCAGCAGAGGTATGTTTGACAATATATCAATTCATTTTCACTTTCACAAAGAGTAGAAGTAAAATCCACAGTAGAAAAAAGTGCTACAGACTAAACAATAGACGAAAAAAAAAACATCAGCTAAGATTTACACACACACACAACACCAGAGGTTAAAGGTCCATTGTGTAGGATTTAGGGGGATATATTGGCAAAAATTGTAATGTGTAATTAATGTGTAATATATTCATTCATTCATTTTCCATAACGGCTTCTCCTGTTAGTGGTCTGGGGGGGAGCTTCTCCTGTTAGTGGTCTGGGGGGGGAGCTTCTCCTGTTAGTGGTCTGGGGGGGGGGGAGCCTATTCCAGCTGACAGTGGGCGGGGTACACCCTGGACAGGTCACCAGACTATCACAGGGCTGACACAGAGACAGACGACAGTTAACTATAAATTAATGCTGAAAATTTATAAACAAAGGACCTGCTAAGAGATGATATCAGTCTGATTTGAAGTAAGGGATGAAAGAAACTACATGTTTCACAAAACATTGATACTTTTCTAAGGTTTGTCTTTTTGAAAAAGAAAAAACAACAATGGTCCGTATCTGCATAAAAGGCAAGGGTACATCTTTTCCTTTATGTTATAAATTGTTAAAACCTCTTTTGTCACCATAGAAGAAATACTATTTGATATAAGCACTAATGAAATAAGATGGATGAAGAATAATGCATTCTATTACCTGATTTCACCTCATTTATACACTCCACGAAAAGCGGCAGCGTCTGTAATTCTGTGTGTGTCCACATTTACCATCACTTATATAGAAAACAAGACACATAAAAAAAAGCTGCAGCAAACACAGGGACCAGTATATACATAAATACAGAGTCCAGAGAGCTCACTGCAGTCAGTATGGACGAATGACCAGCAGATATCTCACAGGACCGATCAGCGGATAACTCAGAGGAGGTGTCTCCTGAAGGACTCAGTCTAGGTGGTGGGACAGGAGCTGGAGGCTTCAGCAGGGGCAGTCCCTCCCTCCTCTGCTCCTCCAATGCGTTGATGAGGAAAATCAGCCCTTTCTTGGGGAAGACGGACGGGGAGAAGAGGTTGCATTTAGCAACAAAGAAGTGAGGGAGGGAAGCTGTGCGAGCGTGGGCCTCCAGAGCCCCGAGGAGGTGCAGGAAGCAGGTGGGGAGCTGCTGGCGAGCCCACATGGAGTCATTGAACCTGGGGGAAGAAGATGTCAGAGAAATGACTGGAAGAGAAATAATGATACTAAAATATTTCCATTAGTAGTTTTTATAACTAGTACTACTAAATCAATCCAAACATTACTACTATTGCTACAACAAACTTACTAATAATAGCCAAAGAAGGAATCTGCGATTATTATTAATTTTTTAAAATTTTTTTTTGCTAAATTGATTCATTGATTCATCCATAAGTCTTTAAAATTAAAGGAAATAGTGATAAACATCAGTGATGTCTCTTTATAGTTTGTTTACAGTCAACCACCAGTCCAAAAGAGATTTAATTTATAATGATATAATAAGCAGCAAAAAATATATATTTAAGCAAGCTTGGACCAGAGAATTTTTGGCATTTTTTGCTTGATAAATGACTTAAACAATTAATCAATTATCAAAACTGTTGTTAATTAGTTTTCTGTTAATAGACTAATCTGTAAATTAATCAACTACTTGTTCCAAGCACTAGTTAATCCTACTGTGGTACCTCTGTACTTACAGATATCTACTGTTTCTACTGCTGTAACCAGTGGATTTAAATTTCTGGTTAATCCATTGTGTATTTTTTCAATTAATCGGTTAGTCGTTAAGTAAAATGGCAGAATATATTGGAAAATGGTGATCTGAGAGTACTGTGAGATTTCTTTAAACCTGCAATAACCCATTCTTTTGGCCACGTGGGAGCAGCAAAAACAAGCTGAAACACAACACTGATTACGTTTACATGCACAAAATATTCAGATTTTTTCTGTCATATTTGGAATAACAGTGGAATTTTAGTGTGCATGTACACATAGTCAGTGATACATTATCCCCTTTAAGTTCACAAATACTTTTACACATTTAGCAGTTACGGAGCAACATCATTTTTCAGTTGGTGTTGTGTTTGTGACCACCTGACGAATGTTAAGTCCAACATTCATTCTCTTTGAGCTCAGCTTTTTGGGCTCCACCAACTCCTGCAGCCCAGTCGCCAGAAAAAACATTCACATTAGGCTATACTATTTGCAAAAAGAAAAAAAAAACTCACTGTAAAGCTCTGTAAAGCCAATAGGAGCTGTGGATCCAGGTAATAGTTCTCTGTCTCTATTTAAATTGCATTATAGAGACGCTTACAATGCAAAAATCCAAGGATATTAAATCAATACAACAACTTTAGTATTACAACACCAACACTTACTACTGCTTCTACGACACTTAAGTACTGCTGTTACAACAGATACTTATAATACTTCTACAACAACTACTTGGGCTACAATTTCCATTCTTCCTACGAAAATAACAACCATACCTGATGGACAGGGTGTGGAGGAAGGCAGTCTTCCCATGGTATGAGCAGAGATCATCCAGCTCTTTTGGGAAACGTTGTTTCAGGCCTTCAATGAGAGACTTGAGGAGCATCAAGCACTGTTTACTGAGAGAGAGAGAGAGAGAGAGAGAGAGAGAGAGAGAGAGAGAGAGAGAGGAATCATCTTTTCATGGAAATATGACACCCATTTATCGTTGCTTCTTCAGTTGGAGGCTGGTTTGGTGGCTTGTTTCAAATCTCTGAACTAAGTTGTTGTTGACTCTATATCCAGTATTTACTATTTTCTTTTAAAGTGCTACATCACATTTTATGAGGCACCCTTTGTGAAGGGTACGCAATTTGTAAATAATGAACTTAGCAATGGTTTACTAAATATTTTACTGATCATTTTAATAGAGCAGTTATCAACAACAACGCATTTTACCGTTGCCAAGTTGTGAAAAATAAAGTTTCAAGGTTACTTCTTTGGGAGAAAACTGTCTTGGATAAAGGGAAATTGCTGTGTCAAACCAGACACTACAGTACAAAACATTAATTAGAAATAATAGAAACAACACAGTTAAGACATTAAATATTAAATAGTGTGGAAACATTTGCTTGTGGTAAAACACCACAAATTAGACACTGCAAATGAGAATTATGAGGCATACTACTGCCACCTGTTCAACTGCATTTTTACATACTATACCATAAATACCATAAATGTATTATGACTCACACGTTCTCATTCATACTTAAATACTGTACCTGCAACAGTATGTACTACTTCAAACCTGCCACCCCAAATTAAATCAACTGCTTACAGCAGACCTTAGGTGCCTCCTATGTTTCTGTCTGTCCTCCATTTGCCCATTAATGATTTTGACTGAGAGAAGAATGAATGTTTGTGCCGATTGCGTTTGCTCAGAGGGGTCCTGTACCTCCTCCCAGAGTTCATTAGTACATATTCAGAGTTCAAAACATGGTAACAGTCAGATAAAATTATATTGGCCTGCCTAATGGTAGACTGCTCAAAATGACCCTGGGTGCAGAGGGAGAATCCTTTTCGTTTGCTAATAATGCACTTATTCATGTTCGTAATCCATTAATAAAGGCTCATCTTTATTACGCCATCAAGTCTGTAGTTATAAATGTAAATCACTCATCATTGTTAAAGGGTTTTAAGTATCAAGTCTGACACTGTAAGTGTTAATAAGTTAACGCAATACATAGATTGTCTATAGCTGTTCTCTAAAAATAATTGCTCAGATTTCACAACCTGGCAACCCAAAACTTGTTCTTATTAATCTGATCCTTAAAGCATTAGTAAATTGTTTCTTAACTATCCAATAACCCTAGGAGACCAACAGGAGCATTGGCAATCTCAGCTGACATTACTGTGTTTCAGAGGCTGTAGCGGGCTGAGTTTTGTAGCTAGAGTGAAGATATGTGTACAAAAATGAACATGATCACTTGATGTCAATCCTATGCACTTTTAGGCAAAAAACATGCAGCTTTCTGCATGCAGTACAAATTTGATATTTTCGCTGATTGTATTTAAATATTTCTCCATACTGGGGTCCCAAATGTTGTTGGAATTGCAGAAATTGGGTCTGACTGGAAAGCTGAGACTGGTGGCTCCAACAAGTGCAGTTTTATTCATGTGCGAAGATGTTAGCCCCCATAGTCGCTATTTCATTGGAGTGAGACCATTTTTTGGAAATGGACATCACTGTATAAAATGACCTTGAGGATAATCCCAGCCACATTAAGCTTTACAAACTGGAGACCTCAGGCCTTCAAAAGATGTCTTACTTTTCACTGCTATATTAATAATAAGTGGGTTTCTCTGCAGTTTCTGGAACAGAAGTGCTCCCCATCCAATTGTAGAAAAATGCAATTCTTACAAAAATCTCAAAAGTGTATTTGGTACCAAATCAAAGCATGGATTTTTCTATGGTGTTCCTCACGGTGTTGGTGTCTTAATATGGTATTTTGGAGGGGTTTTTGACAATTTTTTTTATCAATTCTCAAGTGGAAAAAAAAAGAATTTTTAGCACAAAAACTAACAAATGGTAGCAACCCAAAAACTGGTCCAACAAACTATGGCATAATTAAGCATGAGAATGGTCATCATATACTTCCATTATATTGTTCTAAGCCCCCATACACTGTAAACTTTCAAAGTTTGTATATGCAACGAACCAAAACAGTGTTTATTACAAACTTATGACTAGTAAACGTTGACAGACAGTGCTGAGAGCTGCAACTCAAATGTATGTAAAAAAATAAACATTTCAGAGTCTCACCGGCAGCATTTGGTGGCACTGCTCTCACAGCAGGTTTTCTTGTTACCGTGGCTCGTGATGATTTTCTTCTCAACGTGAGAGAAGGAAATCCTCCAACTTTCTGTTACACAGAGACAAAAATAACCTGATGGGCCAATGTCACCCCCAGACTTTGATTTTTCTGTGAAAGATAGGTTACATTAACGTGCTTGAGACTAAAACAGTTAAATCAAAGTTTAGAGAGGAAATGTCTCACTGGTGGATCTGCTGACTGATTTTGTTTTTATGTTAAAAGCAGTTGGAAGCAACTGGTTTAATTTTTAACAACATATTCTATAACCGGGAACTAAATTCTCTGCAGAGGTCTCTTCCTCTCCAAAACAAATGGACATGGTGATTTAAACCAGTAAAATACACCCCTCCTGTCAGTGCTCCTTCAAGAGCTCCAGTAAAATCTCTAATGTTATACATTTTCATTACTATCAGGTTTGCGTATGAATACACAGAATTGACAGCTAGCAGACCGTTAAGACATATTCGCTGACTTTGACAAAAAGTTTATTTGATTACCTGAGTAAATGTGTTCAGGGATAAATTGCTTGTCTTTGGTGCTCTATGAACTGCAGGTCGGAAAGTTTTGTACTTGCAGCAACATCATCTCACTAACTTTTTGATTTTGTCAGTCATTGTTGTATCTCTCACCTTTGGCTTCCTCGCTGAGGTTTCGTCCTTTGAGCCTCTTTGGTACGAAGTAACATGGTAAACTTCTGATTTCTTGGCGAACCTTCTTTCCCAGCCAGTTATCCACATCTGGACCGTTCCGCACAGCAAGCGGCCAGCCTTGAGAGGAGTGAATCTCCATAAAGGAACAAGAGCAAGTGTTACATAGCAAATTAATTCCAGTGAAGCAGTCTACCAAGACAGAAAGTGTGGCTACAGTGTCATTACAGTCTTTCCCTCGGCTGCTGTGACAGTGCAGAGGCGTGGAGAGCGCAGATGTGGAATACGGTGAAACACTGACTGATCAGAGCATACTGGGCATTTTTAGGAGGTGGGCTTAAAGAAACATGCTCTAAAATGGAGTGTTTCAAACAGAGGGTGAATGAGGTTTATTCAGGCAGACAGTATGAGAAATATGTGCATTTTTTTTTACATTAAAGTATATTAACATGTTCCAATACCTACCCAAAATATAAATATGATCATGAAATGGGAATCAATATGAGACCTTTAATAATGTGTTGTGGTGTCTAATCTGTTCCTGTTTTTCTTTTCTCTTTTTTTGTACATATGGGACATAATGTCACAGACTGTAGCCCACGTGTCGCTGTCAATTATCAAAGGTCCAGTGTGTAGGATTTAGGGGGATATATTGGCAGAAATGGAATATAATACAATAAGTATGTCCTCTTAGGTTATAATCACCTAAACAACAGAATAGTTATGTTTTCTTTACCTTAGAATGAGCCGTTTTTATCTACATAGGGAACCGGTCATCGTCCACAGAGATGACCATGTTGCACCACCCCGTAGCCCAGAAGGGACAAACCAAACACTGACTCTAGATACTGACATTTGTGTTTTCGTGTTGGTCACTGTAGTTACCTCACCACTAGATGCCACTAAATCCCCCTAAATCTTACACACTGCTCCTTCAAGAAGCACTTTCAAAGGAGAATGTTGTCCCACACCTGAGCTCTCATAACGGGCAGAGCTTTATCAGTTTAAGATCATTGTTGTAAGAATTGTTCAAACACTCTTGACGCAGGTCCACAGGGACCTAAATGTTAGTATGATCAATAAATTGTTGAAGCTAAACTCTGGCAGTGTGAGGGATCTTTCCAACACACCTGCATCTAAGATAGTTGGCTTTGCGAATAGCCCCTTTAAACAACTGTACAGATAAGATGGTTACCTCCAGAGCAGGAACGAGGTCCACAGAGATGAGCTCGTCAGTGTTGTTTTCAGTTCTGCACAGAGACAAAGTCACAGCTGGCGAGTAAGGTCGCTTCCTGTTCACCAACCAGTGACAGCATTCATCAGGCACTGGAAAGATGGAAATTGAATACAGACAGTTATTTAGGGTTCCAAAGTGGAATAAACGTCAACAAAATACAAAAGAAAACAAGAGAAAGAACTGATTTTTCACAGACACCAAGAGCAACAACTCTAGGCAGAGGGAGAAACCAGATTACTGTCACAACAACAGATGAGAGCTGATCAGACCTTTGTAGGTCTTGAGGAACTTGCGGACCAGGCGGTACATCTCACTCAGGATCTTGCTCGATGAGAGGGTGAGCTTTTTCTCCAGAAGAAAGGCATGTATGGGGCCACGAGTGGGACAGGCAAGATCAATCCGGTAGAAGAGGCCGTCATCGAGCACCTTCATGTTGAAGCGCGATGGAGCCTGAAGCTTCAGCATCATGTCAAACTCATCAGGGTTGTGGATCTAAGATTCAAGACAACATAGAGCCAGTGGAGGAGGTGCATATTTGTCTTGCACACACTAGTAATGTCTCCTGTTTACTTTCTCTCTCCTCTCTCTGCGGTCTGGACCATTATGCAACACTTTTTTTTCATTTGTGGCAAGAAATCTTATGCCTTTATAAATTGTGTTTATCATGACCTCTCACCTTAACTTTCTCAAAGTAGCTGCCAGTGTTGAGGAACTCAGCTGACTGGAAGAAAGGCTGATCAGTGTTGCTCCGCAGGAACTTGAGCAGGTTGTCTCGGAAATCGTTGACCATCTCTGCAGCCCAGCGACGGTCTGTCTGCCGGATCTTGAGCTCTTTAGCATTGTGTTTGATCCAGGTGATTAGCTCCGGTGTAATGGAGGTCGACTCCTCGTCCACTGTGGATTCCTCCTCTGCAAAGACACAAGGGTGAGACCAAATGACTGTGGATGAAACTTTTTAGAGCGTTCTCACAGGACAGCCACGCTACAAACATGATGATGTTAAAGAATGTGATGCATTGCTGTAACTATTGAACAGTAAATAAGGGAGTTAAAATAAACACAAAACTAAAGATCTACAGCAGAAAAATTCAACAAACACATTAATGCAGCAGGAAAATTAATCACAAAACACCATGTATAATAGTAAAACACTGACAGAGTACATTTATTTTATATACTTTAAGTACATTTAGCTGATAATTCTTTGTAATACCTTTACTTAAGTAAGGTTTTGAATGCAGCTGAGTTTTTTCACAGTGTGGTGTTAGTACTTAAAGGAATGTGGTCCACCCTAAAATTGTGCAACCATTTTTGTATTTTTTTTTTTTTTGTGATTTCATGGCCTGATGTTATCAGTCATTGTGTGATGACCACATTATTTTATTTTTCATATGTACTGTGAAGAAACAATTATCAATGTAGCTAAGCAGCACCCAGGTGGAACTTCTGGCATGGGAGCAGGTCGCCCTGGGTTGAAACTTCCGCCCACCCCCCAGATGCAATCTGGATGATGAACTGAGCACACTGTGTCTTTATTGCTGCCACACTGTTTCTGTATTTCTCAGATTTTTTATTGTTGTGGTCATTCCAACTCTAAGACCGATGACACGAACAGTGTGTAAGATTTAGGGAGATTTAGTGGCATCTAGCGGAGAGGACTGCAGATTGCAACCAGCTGAAAGTTCTCCTGGTTAAAATTCCTTCAGTGTTCTTTGCTCTGGAGGTGTTTACTGTGAGTCGTATTATCCGCAGTGGTCTGCAGACAGACCCAGTGACTAAAGCTAGTAAAAACACTGAATAAAGCAGATTCACATTAAAAATCAGTGTTTCTCTGATGCTGTTTGACATGTCAGAGACAGGCCGTTAGCCCAGCACCTTCTAATGTGTGCTGACCTTTTTTCTCTGATAACTGTATGTGTCAGCCCTGTGATCTGTCCAGGGTTTACCCTGCCTCTCACCCAATGACAGCTGGGATAGGCTGCAGCCTAGCAGTATCACCTGCACATTGTTGCTGCTGAACTTTTTGCTTCCGTCTTGCTGGTGTGAGTTGCGGAGGACTCAACTTTCCATTGGTGTTGTCTTTAAGCTGCATCGCCCCAGTAGGACTCTTCACATCTCTGTCCTCTCTGTCCATAACTCCTTTGTGTCAGCCTTGAATGTTTATATACAGAAAACAGAGGAAAATACTCTTGAGACTAGTAAAGAAGTTTGGGTTCAAAAGGTTTTAGAGAAGTGTTTGTACTGGTAAGTCTGACAGAAACTACAAGAGAAGAAATCAAGTTGGACAGATGTTATAGTCAACCTTGATTTTAGGTTTGCCAATTAAATGATTGTGTGCACTCCAAAAATGCAAGTTTGTAAAATGAAAAACAAACAGGTCAGGTTTAGGAAAAGAAACAAGTAACAACATACCTTAAAGACACTGTATGTAAGAATGTGGCCAAAATGGTTACTGCACTCAAATTCAAAATACTGCCGCAAGTCGTGTCTGCCCCCCCTCCCCTACAGATTCGAGGTTGCTGGACAGCAGCACGCTGGAGACTGATTTGTTTGCCCACGGGCAGCTGCTGTGGCAGGGCCGTGTCGCCGCATCCATGATCTTCGGTTTTCCAGTGGACCGTTCGAGCAAGTCCGGCTTCTCTGCTGCTAATGCTGCTGCCGGGATACAGCAGAGGAGACTGCTAATGCTATGTACCGGGACACTGTTAATGCTGCTTGCCATGCTGCTGTAGCTCAGTCGTAACTGTAACTGATGCTGAGACTCTAATGACTGTGTGACTGGTAGACAGCGGTGGGTGGCGCAACAGGCCAAAACACAAATTCAAAACATAAACATGATTTGCGGACCGTAAAATTGTTTTTTAAATGCAAATACTCTGGCTGTACTATTGCTGTCAGTGAGATCAGTATGTTATATGAACATTATTCCTTAGTCTCTGTGACATATTAGGATGATTTTACGACTATTTGCTTTAGATTTCTTACATATAGCTCCTTTAAAATAATTCAAAGGTCACTTGATTTCACACAGATACGATGACTGGGCTCCTGGGGGAAAGTCCTTTGTTATGGGACCCATCCACCACCCAACCTGCCTCCTTATGCAGACTACTTCCTTCTTTACTCCCCTCAGTGTATTGGTCACGTGATTGCAGCCTTTCAAAGCTCGTGGGTTACACGAATTGCTGGCTCATGATTATATGAGTTACATACGAATTCTGGTGCAACTACTTTTTTATGGGTATACCTACAAAAAAAGGGTGGGCACTATGCTGTATGAGTGCAGCGCAAAGCTGTGAGTCAGTGATTCAAGTCATCAGTCACAGACCCCTCAGCTGGCTGACATTCTTCAATAAGTGTGCAGTGTATTTCTGTTGATGTTACAGTCTCTAGATTTAGCTACAAAGTGAGTGCTCCTCCCTTTCAGGCTGCTCTCCATTACAAGCAGCTACGGACCTAGACCCAGGGTGAGTCTGAGGCGGAAGCAGCTGCCTAGACTTTGCCCGTTCAGACTCTGAGATAATGTTGTCCTTGCCTTCTGTGATCACCCTGTATGTCTTGCCAAACCCAATTTAAACTCTCACACCCTGTATGGAATTAAAGGAACAAATAGTGGAATATTTGTATTAAACAACCAAATCCAACTCAGCTGACTATTTCTGCTCTAACATACAGCGTGGCCAGACGTGCTTACCTCAACAAATCACAGAGAAAGAAATTCTAGAAATTTTACCAGAATTAATAAAAACTTGTTGACATAAAATTTTTAAAATACATGAAGATTACCAGGGATGAGTGTTTGTGTCAAATGCACACAAAGTTTTTATGTCACAGGGAGTGTGCATCTATTGCTGGCTCACTTAGCACCACTGAGCTAACTAACGTTACAGCTCAGCCAAGGAGTACACCATAATGTTTCCATCTCCCACCGTCACAAGCACTAGCCTCTCGTCCTTGAGTAGATGCACACTTCCTTCTGTGCAGATACAGCTGACGGATGTAGCTTAGTAGAAAGACAATAGTTCTTACATTAAACAACAAGGTCTGTGGATTATCTTAAATAACTGTTTCATGATTTCTGGAAACAGATATTGCGGTTGAGTTTTTTAGATGAATTTTTTTTTTTTGCGCTGTGAGCACAACAAGCCGAGTGCAATCTAGTTCCATTATATTGGAGAGAAGGCAGACATCTGTACAGTCGATATCTGCGACACTCCACAACTCAATACAATATGTATCTTTGATTTTAGAGTGAACTTTCCCTTAAGATATGTTGACAAAAACATACCCGTAAATGCTTTCAAATTTCTTCACACATTTAGTAGGGTAGGGCCTTTCACACATCTGTCCAAACAGACACTCCATTACAACTACTAGTCTCTAAATACAGACTCTACATTCAGTGTGTATGCATGTAGAGTCTGTAGGCAAACCCCGGAGATCTTAGGTTCGTTCGAGATGAGCCAGGCCTGCGCAGATTCGATCACCGGCGATCGGCGCACAATGCATGCCGGTTTGTTTTGTGTCCGACTTCATCCCGACTTGCTCTGACGTATTACAAAAGTGGACAGCGATAAAGCCGCGAGAGCGAGGCGGCCGCAGTTTTTAGAGCCAGGCGCTGCAGTTGCTCTCCACTGACGGCACCGCCTGGCTCTCACCTGATCTAACAGCTGATTGGTTTAGACTTCGACTCAACAAGATGATGTTTTAGATAAACTACTCATTTTTGTTGAATTCTAGAGATTAAGATTGTATTTGTCTGATCTGAAGGTTTATTCTGTGAACAGAAAACATGTTGTGTCACTGATGGTGAAAACAAACTGATATATGGGCCTGATCACTTTTTTAATGAACTGACATCATTCCAGACAGGATGTAAGTGTGTCTGTGACTTCCTGCACGGACTGAAGGCTGCTGGAAACTGTCGGGAAACTGTCCGACTTCACCGCAGCTTTTTGTCACCGCCCCCCACTGCGGCCGCCTGCTCTCGTCTACTTTTCAGGCGAGGCGCAGTTCATCTCGAACGAGCCTCTTGCCTCCGGAAGAAGAGCAGAAGAGCCCTGGTTTCCGGTTGTAGGCTGTTTGTAGTGCGCGTGATATTGACCAATCACATTTGAGCCGGCTGCAGTTGTTACCAGGTTAAACGGTCCATGTGGTGAACTAACGAGGCGGAACATAATTGGCGTCACTGCAAACTCTGAATCCATTGCAGTGGTTCAGCATATTTACTTATATATAAACAGAAGTCGGAAACGGAATTTCGCCTCCTCCGCCCAAATCCAACCAGAATGCCAAAAAATCGGGGGTCTGCCCCCAGAGGCTGTATCGCCGTCTGCCGGAAGTCAGACGCCGAATACAGCCGATGGGTTCCGAGAATGGTCCAGACACTGCATTACAACTACTGACTAAAACATAAGTCACAGCATAGATAAGGGGGATAGACAGACAGACAGACAGACAGATATATACAGTACAGGCCAAAAGTTTGGACACACCTTCTCATTCAATGCGTTTTCTTTATTTTCATGACTATTTTCATTGTAGATTCTCACTGAAGGCATCAAAACTATGAATGAACACATGTGGAGTTATGTACTTAACAAAAAAGGTGCAATAACTGAAAACATGTTTTATATTCTAGTTTCTTCAAAATAGCCACCCTTTGCTCTGATTACTGCTTTGCACACTCTTGGCATTCTCTCCATGAGCTTCAAGAGGTAGTCACCTGAAATGGTTTCCACTTCACAGGTGTGCCTTATCAGGGTTAATTAGTGGAATTTCTTGCTTTATCAATGGGGTTGGGACCATCAGTTGTGTTGTGCAGAAGTCAGGTTAATACACAGCCGACAGCCCTATTGGACAACTGTTAAAATTCATATTATGGCAAGAACCAATCAGCTAACTAAAGAAAAACGAGTGGCCATCATTACTTTAAGAAATGAAGGTCAGTCAGTCCGGAAAATTGCAAAAACTTTAAATGTGTCCCCAAGTGGAGTCGCAAAAACCATCAAGCGCTACAACGAAACTGGCACACATGAGGACCGACCCAGGAAAGGAAGACCAAGAGTCACCTCTGCTTCTGAGGATAAGTTCATCCGAGTCACCAGCCTCAGAAATCGCAAGTTAACAGCAGCTCAGATCAGAGACCAGATGAATGCCACACAGAGTTCTAGCAGCAGACCCATCTCTAGAACAACTGTTAAGAGGAGACTGCGCCAATCAGGCCTTCATGGTCAAATAGCTGCTAGGAAACCACTGCTAAGGAGAGGCAACAAGCAGAAGAGATTTGTTTGGGCCAAGAAACACAAGGAATGGACATTAGACCAGTGGAAATCTGTGCTTTGGTCTGATGAGTCCAAATTTGAGATCTTTGGTTCCAACCGCCGTGTCTTTGTGAGACGCAGAAAAGGTGAACGGATGGATTCCACATGCCTGGTTCCCACTGTGAAGCATGGAGGAGGAGGTGTGATGGTGTGGGGGTGTTTTGCTGGTGACACTGTTGGGGATTTATTCAAAATTGAAGGCACACTGAACCAGCATGGCTACCACAGCATCCTGCAGCGACATGCCATCCCATCCGGTTTGCGTTTAGTTGGACGATCATTTATTTTTCAACAGGACAATGACCCCAAACACACCTCCAGGCTGTGTAAGGGCTATTTGACCAAGAAGGAGAGTGATGGAGTGCTGCGGCAGATGACCTGGCCTCCACAGTCACCGGACCTGAACCCAATCGAGATGGTTTGGGGTGAGCTGGACCGCAGAGTGAAGGCAAAGGGGCCAACAAGTGCTAAACACCTCTGGGAACTCCTTCAAGACTGTTGGAAAACCATTTCAGGTGACTACCTCTTGAAGCTCATGGAGAGAATGCCAAGAGTGTGCAAAGCAGTAATCAGAGCAAAGGGTGGCTATTTTGAAGAAACTAGAATATAAAACATGTTTTCAGTTATTTCACCTTTTTTTGTTAAGTACATAACTCCACATGTGTTCATTCATAGTTTTGATGCCTTCAGTGAGAATCTACAATGTAAATAGTCATGAAAATAAAGAAAACGCATTGAATGAGAAGGTGTGTCCAAACTTTTGGCCTGTACTGTATATATATATATATATATAGAGAGAGAGAGAGAGAGAGATAGATAGATAGATAGATAGATAGGCAGACAGACAGATATAGATAGATAGATAGATATAGATAGATAGGCAGACAGATAGATAGACAGACAGACAGACAGATATAGAGATATAGATAGATAGATAGATAGATAGACAGACAGACAGACAGATAGATAGATAACTCACCTGTGTTAGAGAAGCTTCTGTTGCAAATGGAGACAGTGGATATTGTGTGTCTTTCCGTCTCTCCAGCTCAATCTATTTTCTTTGCTTTCACTTTCAGTTTCCATGAAATGGATACTGCTTTCTTCCTCCTCAATGCTTACCTGTCTCTGGATTCAGTTTACAAACACTTGGAAGGTTTCACAGTTCCACCCACGAATGATGACACTGCCAGTCAACCAGCTTTTTGTCACATAACTTGGCCCAACTAGTTTCACCAGTGGCGAGGCACACCTATTTAGTACTCCAAGATATGTCAAGGTGCTCGCTGCAGCGCCAAGTGGGCGGAGCCTGGCCTTGTGCAGCCCCACCTCTCAGGTCCAGCCCCACCCTCTTGTTCTTCCTCTAATAATGACGAATTTTTGGCAAACACCACCCACTGGCTGTTAACATTAATGCAAGAACCTGGTCAGATTTTGCTAATGAGAAATAATCAGTTTAGATCAGATTAATTAAAGTTAGATCAAAGAAACCAAACCATGCATGGAACTTTAGATACCGGGATAGCTAATATTATGTTACTTTTCTCTAATATTCTCTACATTTTTTATGATACCACCAGCATGTAATATTTTGTTTATTTTTTTAAAAATCTGCATGACAAGCAGGCAGTGTAAGATTTCTTTTTCCCCATCACACTGAGAATTAGGCCATTTGTGAAGGTCATTTAAAAAAATGTTTTATTTTTCAGTAACAGAGTGAGATACTAAATTTCATGTTTATATATCAAGTTTCCAGAACACATTTTCCTCATGAAATTAATGGGTGAAAAACCAAGGCATTTTACAATGCAGGCATTTTATTCCACAGCATTGCCTGTGATTCATTCTCACAAAATTGCCAATTAGGGATAAAGCTCTGTCCTAATAAGAACATAAACAGGATCTTTCTTTTATGCTCTTTAATAGCATAACATAACAAAGCTGGCAGAAACAGAACAGCTTAAACAGCACTTCACAGAAAAAAATGCCATGTGCAATAGGATATAATAGCCTTAAAATTAAAAAAATATATATATATATATATATATATATGTTCTATCATTATTAGAAAACAATGATAGAATTAAAAGAGAAAAAAACATTCATGCTTAAACAGAATAAGAACGACATTTAACGGGCCAAACACAGTCAAACTTAGTCAAGTCACTCCTTCCCCAAACCATGGTTTTATAGTGGACTAACCCTGATGTCATGTGTATCACTAATGCAGTGGTTATACCACTTGAGGAAGAGTCTTAATTTGTCTGTTCCTGCTCAGAGTCAGCAAAAGACTCCTCAGGCTGTGTTGAAATTTTACACGTTAGGAGTGCAAATGAAAAAGCCTCTTTGATTATCACTATGCAAATAACTGAAGAATATGTAATGCGAGTGATGACATATGTGTTCTGTTAGTAACTTAAATGCGATTACTGACTTTAGAAAATAGTTTCCCCAACACTGGTCACAGGTGAGGGTTTAGCAGGCAGGACACACAGATACCTCTTTATCACGGATTTCCTGCATGAAAAACTCCATTTCCTCTAGCCTCTCAAAGGTAAAAAGGAAAGGAGCCCCGGATTTCGTCTTTATCCATATCACCGTCATAAAGCAGTGTGTTCGAAAGCAGGTCCCGCATTGTGATGGCCAGCACGGCATCTCTCTTGTTCATCCTCAAGATAATCGGTAGGCAAACTTTCCCAGCAAAGTGGTGTTGGTTCTCCTCCACCCACTCACAGGTCAGCCGAAACTCTCTCATCACAGCTAATTTCTTTTTGCAAAATGATAAAACAGTGCAGTATTGATATAATTAGTCAAGTACTCATAAACACCTTGAAACAGGAAAGGTAAATACAAAACATTCCCTGTGCATGTATTCTTGGTGTTGAGGGTGGACTCCATGACATCTGGCTCAGACAAGCTGACCTCCGTGACGTCTGGCTCTGGTAGGAACAGTTCACAGATTATTTTTTGGCTTGCACCCCGTGTTTTTTTTCACAACATGTAGAGAAGAGCATGGCTTGAAAAATGTTTCATCAGCTGCAAAGACGTCATTTTTTGCACCAGTGCATTGGAAACACTGCTGAATCTGCTGAAATATCAGTTACCTCTTGTCTGTGTTTCCTGATAATGTGAACCAGCAAATTCCTTTTACTCACTTGAATGCCGCAGTGTCTGCAAGTCACCCTGACTTGCTGATGGACACATAATCTTTGTGTTGATGACTGTGCTCCTGGCAATGGAGGTAATTCTGCTGGAGATAGAGGTGATAAAGCTGTAGAGGTGATAAAGCTGGGGAGGGAGGTACAAACGACACCCCATACTGCTGAAGAAGGAACTGGAGGTGGTGCTAATGGAGATATTGGTCATGGTACTGCTCAAGCTGTGTTTGGAGGCTGTTCAGTTGGCATGTTTTTACAAGTAGTTAAATGTTTAAGGAAAGCAGCCCCTCTGATCAATGTTGCTGTGCAGTAGCAGCAGTGGAGATGAGGGGTCGTTCTGCAGCTTTGACCACACTTGATGATGATGACAAAATATGAAATGTAGAAATAACACAATCATTTTCCTTGTATGCTTTTTTTTTTTTTATACAGTGCAGCAAAGCACCCTTGTGGAAGTTTTGGGATGAAGTGATCTGGGATTTTTTTTAACCACAAGTTTACTGATCACTAGGTCCATTGTGGTTTAGGGTTTTATTTGGTTCAAGCGGTAACACACCTGATTCTACTAATCTGAGACACACAGTATTTAACAGAATAAAGCAACACAAGGATTTACACACAAACCTTCCTGTTAAACTGCAATCCGAACATGATTTGCAGCACGATTTTGTATCTCATGTGTGGTTATATGTGCTTCAGGGTGATTAACAATCTGTACAGCACCTATCAGGTGGTGTTTGGACCCAATTGTGGCACACAGAAAACCAGGAACAGTTCGTAATGATGTTTACTGTGACAGCTCAGCAGGTACAGAGCGGGGCAAAGCACTCAGAGGACGCACGCACAATGGCAAGTGTGGCTTCATGGTGAAAATCTCTGAACAAAAGGAAACCACAGGTAAGCTGCCTGGAACACTCACACTGGGTGTTTCTCAAAGTCAAGGAAGGATCCTTATATGGCTTAATTTCAAGGATGCTATGTCATCAAATCCCGCCTAAGGACTGTTCCAATGTCAAGGATCCTTCAAATTCTACTGAGGACAGAGTCCCTCCCTCAGAGAAATTCCAAGGATGCATGTGTGTATCCTCAGAAGGTATAAAGTACCCAAAATGCTTTGCGCACAATTTGCTGGAAATGAAAGGCGGGGCCTCTTCAATGAAACCTGTGCCAGCGGAGCTCGGCAGGAATTAGATATGTCTTTTATTCGGATTAATGTCTCCAGGAGTTTTTATCAGACAATAAAAAATTACTGACAGAAACCTCATAATTTATGCTTATTTATTCCACTGTGTCCACTGCCAAATAATCATTCATTCATTCATCTTCTAACCGCTTCATCCTCTTGAGGGTCGCGGGGGGGGCTGGAGCCTATCCCAGCTGACATCAGGCAAGAGGCAGGGTACACCCTGGACAGGTCGCCAGACTATCGCAGGGCTGACACATAGAGACAAACAACCATTCATGCTCACATTCACACCTACGGACAATTTAGAGTTATCAATTAACCTAGTCCCCAATCTGCATGTCTTTGGACTGTGGGAGGAAGAGAAGAGAGAACCCACGCTGACACGGGGAGAACATGCAAACTCCGCACAGAAGGGCTCCCACACCCAGGATTGAACCAGCAACCCTCTTGCTGTGAGGCGACAGTGCTAACCACCACACCACCCTGCGCCAAATAATCAGCTTTTTAAAATATAATTGTTTAAGATGAAACAATACATTTTTTAAATCATTCATTTACAGCAGTAATAGTGCACAAAGTGCCACAAAAGTTTCATTTAGCCTACCTGTTTGTTTTTAAGTATGATCCAGAGATATATTCTCCCTAAAAGTCATGTGACTCTGAAAATACTGCTTACATTTGTTCAAATTGTACAACATTAGAGAGTGCCAAAATTATTACAGTAACCTGAAACCCCCTCAGTCTGGTGAGGGTTAGTGACACACACCTGAGGACACTTGTTAGCCTGTTCCAGTGTGTGTTCACTGAATGCTAGGAAGGAGTGTTGCCTTGACCTTGCAAAAACACAAACTGTAGCATAGTCGTCGGGTGGTAATGACAAGCAGCCACAGACAACCAGGAAGGAGCGCAGGAGGGTTGCAGAAGGCCTCGTGGTTAGGGACAGAAGGCTCTTGGGTTTATCAGGTATCACATGAAGCAAGTAGGTCTGAGACAGACAGGGTTGACAAAGGGAAATCAGTTTGAAACAAAGTGCTTGAGAGTATCACTTGAGAGGCCAAGAACAATGCGGCAATGAGCAGAGGTGGGGGACTCGAGTCACATGACTTGACTCGAGTGGAGTTGCAAATTTGAGGACTTGAGACTTGCTTGACTGAAAAGGATGAAATACACGACCTGACTTTGACTTGTCTCATGACTTGAGACTTGACTTTGACTTGAGACAGATATACTTGATCTTTTTTAATTTAATATTTGTATTTTTCTAGAAATTGAGAAGTTACATTTTGTTTTTAAAATATGATGACCAGTGCCGTAACGGAAACACGTTAGACTGCCACAGTGGTTAATGACAGTTCCTGCCTGCTGTCCCAACATAAGTTCCCTATCCGTGAGTGTGTATGTCACTTGCCATGTGCATCCGCACGCCATGAGAAAGTTTACCCTGTGACTTTTTTTGGCCTCCCGTTCATGCTCGGCTCACGTTTGGGGATTTTAACGTGTCATTATCTCATCTGCTCTCTCACAGAGAGTAACAAGTAACTAATACTACCCTGTAAAAATACTCTGTTCCAAGTCAAATTCCTGCATTTAAAATTTTACTCAAGTAAAAGTATGTAAGTATACTCAGGAAAAAGTATTTAAAGTATTAGAAGTAAAAGTACTGTAAAAATGTCCCCTGTGACTGTTGTCGTCTATATGATATCATTAGATGATTCGGACTCATGCTTTAATGTAAAAGCAGGATTTTACTGTTGTAGCTGGTTGAGGTGGAGCTCATCATGGACTATTGACTAATGAATATTTTCATTATGGGTTAATCTGTTGATTATTTTCTCCATTTA